CGCGAGCCATCATCAACAATGGATACCATTCTTCCTTATCGACCGGACCCTTAAGAGTTGACAACCGTTTCACGAGCAGCAGCACACGCTGAAGAATGTCGGAAGCTTGCTCGTGCATTCACGTTACACGACCAGACGCGCCAAAAACATCGCCACGACGCGTCAACCATGCCTATGAGCTTTGCTCCAAACTCACTGGTGTGGCTATGGATTCCTTCTACTCCTCCGGGACTCTCCCACAAGCTTTTGTCCAGGTACCATGATCCCTCAAGTTGTACACCAAACATCCCCTGCCAACTACCTTGTCGAGCAGCTGGACGCATCTCTGGACAAGCGCCGTCGGGGACAAGAAATTGTACACGTCTCTCGGCTCAAACCATACCATGACCCTTCTGTGTACACCTGTCCTTAGGTCGTCAGAATGGCTTCCTCGTCGCCCAGGGGTGATTGTAATGAGGGCGGTGGACATGGAGCTCGAGTAGAGAAAGAAGAAGACGTGCTGTGATAGCAGGCTCGCATTCAGTTAGCCCTTGCACTAAATAAATCTTTCGTTCGCCGAGTCAACTCCTGTTGTTCAACACCCCGTTGCACAATAAACAATACCTTTAAAATAAATCTTACAAACAACACCCCGACAACATTTTCGGGCAATTCGGAAGGCACCCAATAGACAAAAATTTTTTCTCTCCAAAATATTGTAGCTATTCACGCTTTAAATGCAATAATACAGCACGATTTTTGTCAAATACCTTTGAGAGTGCGACTAAAATGGCTGAAACATTTGACATTTTTAAAATGACCCCGCTGCGATTCGCAAGACAGTTGATGCGTTATGCTAGTTGTCTCATTCATATAACACACTTAGCGAAATGCCTGAATGGTGGTGTTCACCTCTATTGAAAAGGCATAAACATAGAAACAAAACACATTATTATGCCTTTTTCTGATGCAATGTAACACTTACCTTTAACCTTGCATTTATCCAATAGCCAGTGCTTGTTACAGTTGCAGCCATTGCCAAATTCCTACTTCTAAATGACCGACAGTGGTGAAAACTTGTAGCAGTTTTTCCTGTAACTAGTCATGAAACACATCACCAAGGAGTAGATGATTGGCATGAAGTTCTAACTTCCCGCATATTGCGACATTGGTAAACCTTACCACAGGTCGGCATATTGCTATGTTGGCAAACTTTACAAGTTTGCTCACGAAAGTTCATGGTCACGAAAGTTTTCTGCAGCCGGACTCACTCGGACTCAAACTCACCAAAACATTACTCGCCCAGACTCAGACTCACGCCTAAATCTGAGTCTGAGTGAGTCGACTCACGATTTCGTCAGCCAAACATTAACTTCTTCGATTGTGATGTCAATTCTCTTTAACATGAATATCTCGCGTAATCTGTGCTCTTCTTGGTGTGGTTTGGCATAAAATCTTCGAAAAAGAGTTGTGAGGGCCTCCAGACAGGTAATGTCATTTTTCTTGGAAGAGATAACATCACGAGATATAATAATGAAGAAATTCCCTGGAAGAGTTGGTGGGGGGAGGTAAAGAAAGCCCCCTACGTAATTCATGCCTTTAATTATTAAATATTGAAATTGTGTATGAACGACACTGCTTTGGAATACCTGTGAGTAGACACGAGTATAAATGTGAATTCAGGTAAGGCTGATAGAAATGCTGAAGATCACTAGATAGAACTTTGAGTCGGCGAAAGAAAGTGAAACTCACTCAATAAATGTATTTTGCACTTTGGACACACTTGGACTCAGACTCACAAAAATATTACTCACTCGGACTCACTAAGACTCGCAGCTTGATCCAAATCTGAGTGAATCAGCTCATGTGCAAGTTTGCCGACCTATGGGCGAGAGTACTTAACATGCACTCCATGCTTGCTTGCATTATAAATGATCAATAGTCAGTTTTAGAAGAGGGTTTGTAGCCTTAGCATTTGTGGCATATAATACAGCATTATCGAAACGAACCGTAGGTACCCAAGAGGATGGAGTACGTGTACACAGTGGCGATACAGTGGCGACTGATGTGAATGCAAGACATTAAATACCTAGTTATAAAACTGCCAAATGACTAGCAAGTTATAGATACTCAAAGGTCTCCATACAAGAAAAGATACCACTGCATGCAAATGATTGACAGTATGCCACATGCATGCATAATGATGAAGCCCGAAAAGGGGCAGAATATGAGCAGCCGAGACAAACACAAGATGCCTGATACTCAGTCCAGAAGAACCAATCAAGCCAGAAGTGTGGTGTTCTATAAACATTGATATATAGTATGTACCCTCCCATTCAAAATGTATGTCAGAAAAGCTTTGTTTATATTGTCGCCAACTGAACTGCAACTATTCAGGTCCTCCAAAAATCATTTAGTATACGCCTAGGTAATGTTATCAAGCAATGAAATTAAATAGTGATTAGCATTCTTCAAGAAAAATAAAATTTATTGATTCTACTTAGTGGCTTGAGGTGCCTTTCAAATGAGAAAAAAATAACATGCTCATATCCCTGATCAGACAGATCGGGTATACAACTGTGACAAAGGCCTGCCCGCAAAACTGGCACAGAGAAGGCATCAAAGAAATAATGATAAATATGAACACTGGCATGATCACTTCCCGCAATTGACCATTTTCAAACTAATTTTTATATTTCAAGAGCCCATTTGCAATGGGTTATGAAAACAAGGTACAATCCTGTTTGATAAAGTAGGTGATCACATTGATGCCTACACTTCATGTGTAAGTATTTTGAAATTAACAGTAATAAACTCCTAACAACACAAACTTTCAAGATGAAGAATAGGGCTGCAAAGGGGCAGAATAAATGTGGATTTTCAGTGCATGCTGTCTACAGAGCAATTTTACAACAAACGCAAACCATGCAGAGCTTCATACAGGGCAGAAATTATATAGTTGAAGTCGTGAGCATTGTAAAAAAAAAGTTATTTTAGCCAATCTTTTATAGCAATGTGTTCTGCTCCATTTTATGCTACTTTTCATTATTGCTCTTGGTCAGCAGATCCCAATAACATGTGGGTGGACTGTCACTCCAGCCAATAGTCTAGCACAAAAAGTACGAAAATGCATTAGCATTGAAAAAAGCTTCGCTACAGAACACTGCCAGCAGACCAGTTTTCATATACAGTAGACTCTCGGTAAACGGAAATCTGTTAAACGAAACTACTGCTTAAACAAAACTATTGACTCTGCAGTGCTTGGTTTTGGGCTTGTATTCTGCATCCATGTTCACCTCAGTAAATAGAACTCCTGTTAAATGGAACACATTTTCCCGGTCCCTTCAGATTCCGTTTACTGAGAGTCTACTGTATCTTATGCAAGGTGTCTGACATTTCAGTTTCATTCCATTACAGCTGTCATGAATATGTCACCAAAAATAACTACTTACATGCTTCTTAATGTACTTGAACTGGTATAGCGCACTATGGGGAAGAAGAAACGGCTGAGCAGACCGACACAAGAGGACAGAGCGCTAACTTCCAACTGAGCTTTATTGTCAAACTGCATCAAATATATAGACCGGCGCAAGCATACAAAACCACCCGAACGCAACGACAAGATAACACACAACATCACACCGTTACATATCGCAGATTCATAGGCGGTTATCCTGATTAAAGAAGGCCACTTCATGTTCAGATAAAACCAAAGAAGGGGCGCTAATACACGTGCTGCCAGCTCTTGCTATACAATGCGCTTCTATAGTTTATCGAGTTGTGACGGGTGCTTTTTTTACTTCGCATTGATCAAACATGGGGGTACATCCACAATCTCGGCAGTGAATTCCAATGTGGCCCTGGATTGCTTTGTGAACATTGCAATGGTGCTCTTTTAGCCTTTCATTAAGGAATCGCCCCGTTTGGCCGAAATACCACATACCACATGAGAATGGAATCGCGTAAACAACCCCCACTACACACGGCACAAACCGAGTTTTGTGCTTAGTTGCGCAACCAGATTGTGAATGTACCCCCATGTTTGATCAATGCGAAGTGGTAAAAAAGCACCCGTCACAATTAACTCGAGAAATTATAGAAGCACATTGTATAGCAAGAGCTGGCAGCACGTGTATTAGCGCCCCTTCTTTGGTTTTATCTGAACATGAAGTGGCCTTCCTTAATCAGGATAACCGCCTATGAATCTGTGATATGTGACGGTGTGATGTTGTGTGTTATCTTGTCGTTGCGTTAGGGTAGTTTTGTATGCTTGCGCCGGTCTATATATTTGATGCAGTTTGACAATAAAGCTCAGTTGGAAGTTAGCGCTCTGTCCTCTTGTGTCGGTCTGCTCAGCCGTTTCTTCTTCCCCATAATGCGCTATACCAGTTCAAGTACGACGAACCAACTCGCCCAATCTTCAACACTCGTGGACTTCTTAATGTAAATGCTTCTTAATGTAATGCAATAAGCATGGTATAACAAAAATCTTCAGGACAAACTCGTCTAACTTTCGGAGAAACTAAAATGGGTTTCATTTGTAGCATTATGCTACAAATGGGTGGATGTAAATCTTTCCATTTCAGGCCTTCAGGTCGCAACTTCATTTGGAAGTTTCACACTGTACTTTTTCTATGCCAGTATGCAATTTGAATATATTGCTTTACAGCAAAAAATTAATGGTACATATGTCTTTTTTTAATAGACCAGAGTTCATGAAAGGAATACCAAATTCTATGAACTAAAGAAAAGAACTGTACCGATCCCTAAATGAACATGAGTTATACTAGACTTCCTGACAGCCAACTGTGCAATGACAATTGAAAATCGGAAAAATTATAATGCAAAGAGACATGCAAGTCTTTGTATGTCTTATTGTATTGTATGTCTTATTGTAAAATGTATTAAGTAATGATGTCTCATCTGATTTTAACCACACAACTGGTATGGCAAGAGAAAAAAAAAATGACGAGACTAGCGATTCTTGTAAAACAAGTAAAGGGGCCACCTAACACTTTCCCGGCAGGTACTTTTTTTTTTATTTGTAAATTCTGTAGTGTGAAAGTAAAAGATGTACAGATTAATACAACAAGAATGGCCCCAATAGGGACACACAGTCCTAAGTTATTACTCTAAAAAATCCCCTCCCCCAAAGTGAAATTTAAAAAAAAACTGCCCACAAATCAAACTTTAAAGGACCACCTCCCCCCCCCCCCTGCCTTGCCCACTACAGAATGTTACAATGCCAATGGCAGAGCTGAAAGTGCCTGCACAACAAATGTTAGGGCCCCATAATTGCCTGTTCCACCCAGTGCACCAGTCACATCGTTGTTATAGTAATAAACAATGTGGTACCACACTCTAAGAAAAAGAGTGAAACAAGAACAATGCGTCGAGGGAGGTTAGCCTCTTGAATAACCCTTAGAAATCTATAGTACATGTGAAACAAGGCTACCAGGGCACACAAGCGAGAAGAGAAGATTTGGCATAGACACCTCAAATGAATATTTTTACACGTGCAGAGGCCACAGGCTAAAGCCTGCCAGCACCCCTACAGTGTTTTGTAGCAGAGCTGCTGCTTCTCTTGCATATTTTCTTTCTTTCAGGACAGTATCTGCTTGCATTAGCATAAAAAGTATAGGAAATACAGTAAAACAAGTCTAAAGAAAGGCTTTACAGCAGTAAAGTGATTATGTTTGCAACTTTTGCTCTTAACCACTTGCGAATGAGCACTTAGTGACTGCCAGAAATCCTTTGTACAAACCACAAAGTGATGATGCAGTTGACAGCGATGTAGTGATTTCTTTGCATGATTAAAATATTAAATTTTTAATAATGATTTGTTTGTTTAGGCTATAGGCACTGCCAACTATTAGTCTGTGTTACCCTCAAATAAATGACGGGGGCTTGAAAAGTGTTGAGGGGCCCCTTTTAGCCACTATGCTTGCTGCCTGAAGACACATGCACCCTTCTTTCTGTGCTTGGAATGGTGCTTACATCAATTCCTTTCCCCTTTTCTTCATTAAAAAAAATAACACATACAGCAGTTACTTTGCACTAGACAATCACTGCAACTGAAGCAGTTCAGATCTTTGTGAGCTTTTTTTCACACTATTGCAACACACAGAAATGGCTTTAAAAAATATTAAATAAAACTATGTTTTCCAATAAATAGAGGTAACTAACATACATAACATGGCCTCACAATGTAGAGCACCATATTTTTAAGAGGTTTAACCATGTCACACAAATACACAACACACACACACACACAACACAAAATCACAGCTGTGACAATTTCACATCATATGTCCTGCCTTATAAATAATATACAGGTTATCAAACGAGAAAAAATTTAAGAAAGTTTTACCACATTCATTGTACTAAGATGTTAATACAACTGGCCTACATATTATTGAGAATGTACAGGATCTGCATACCAAAATGCAGTGGACTCATTTTTATCCTTTTTTATATTATTAACTCATACTTAATGATTTTAATTGCACCATTTAAACCAAGACTATATAAATCTGCTAATTTAATATAGCTTATTATTGTATCATTAATTTTTAGACATTATCTTTTCAACTGTAGTAAATGTTAAACCATTATAGAACAGATTTTTAATTCAGCTGGCTGTAAAAGTTTTCTTTCAATTGGTCCCCCATCACGGCACTGAAAATGACACCAGTTTAGCAGTAAATTTGAATGGACTCTCAGTAAACAGAAATCTGTTAAACTGAACTACTGCTTAAACGGAACTGTTTCCTCTGCAATGCTTGGTTTCGGGCTTGTATTCTACACTAATGTTCACCCCTCAGTAAACGAAACACCTGTTAAATGGAATATATTTTCGCGGTCCTTTCAGGTTTTGTTTACTGAGTCTACTTTATATCAGAAGCTTTAAATGTAGCGAAGTAGCATAGGCTAAGATTCTTTAAAAATGATCTTTTTGTTGTCCTACTGAAAACAATTCAAGCGTCTTCATTCAATTCTGCATTCATTTATTTACCGAATTCTCAGAAATTTGTAGGCAATATTTTGTCCATTTTCAACATTTATTCCAAATCAAAAAGGTGCAAGCACTAGGAATGCAAGTAAACCATTTGTATGAGTGAGCATTTAACTGCCACTCTATGCATATTTGTTTCAGGGTAAATTTCTCTAGGGAATGCTTCAGCACTTAATAGAAAACTTGCATTTTGAAAGCAAACTGGCATTTCCTGAAATATATGAATGTATGTTATGAATTCTATATTTTTTAATGTTGCTGGTCCAGCACACTGCATTCTGCTGGAAGCTGCCTGTAAGGATAAGTACACTTCAAAGTTACAGCATAGAATGGAAAAAATTACTTAGAATCAGGTGATAAAATCAAGTGAACAAAGCATAACTACTCTCGTGTTCCAACATATTTTCCTATTTCACTCCAAAATAACCATTCTGCATGATGCAAAAAGAACAGTTATTTACAGTATATACAGAGCAAATGAAAATGATCAGAAACTCATCTTTAAAATGGCACACAATCTCATTTGTGCAAAAATAAAGGTGTGAAGAAATCATGTCAGCAGCTTTGTTCATTACTACAACCATTACCCCTCAGCTGATGCTGTCAATCTTTTGGATAAATTGGGGTTCGTGTTTTCTGGAACATTGTAGCCCAAATGAAACAGACAAGGTCATCATCCACATTAAGTTGGCATATAAAGTCTTTGGAACACACTGGGAAGTTGCAATTTTTTTTTCTATTCATGCAGAGAGAAACAGTGACTAGCTGCTGACATTATCCAAACACAATCCAAACACATGTAAATTTTTTAGCATAAGAAAAATAAATGCTCAGCAACAATCCTCATAACAGCAGCTGTACATTAACCAGCTACTATGCTGTACCACTTGCTGCAAGCACACATACTTTTGGAGTCGTAACATACAACTGGCACACTCACAAACATGGCTGCCAAAAACATCATCTCGGGGGTGTTCACCTGCAAGTCAAGTTCTGCCGCAACACAGCACAGACATCACCTCGGCCTGTGGTGGTGTAAGACAGGATAAACCCAGATGTACAGGGGGCACAATGATGCAGTTTGTTCCTTGGCCTCAACAATGAGCTGTGCAGTTTAGATTTACTTCTTGGCACTTTTCAGATGCAATGCTCAGCCAACCCAATCGTCCAAAATTACATGAAAAACAACAAATGAAAAGGTGTACACCATCAGGTCCAGCACCACATCAGACACAAGCTGCAAGCAGGCCGTGGTGCTTGATGAGGCCTTTGGGGAAACACCACAAAGAACCAAAGCTGTAGCCAGGAAAGCAAGCGGTGCAGATGTAGAACGTACAGACCACTGTGAAATGCTGGGCTGCGGAGATGTAAGGTGAGACACAATCAGCCAAACACTTACTAAAGTTATGACAAAAAGCAAAATACTACATTTCCCAACCCGGTATAGACACTGAAATGCCAAGTGCAAGGGCAAAGAGGGCAGACTTGACTTTAAAATTTCAAGAACATATACATACAGAAGTGCATGTTGGCAGAAGCACATTATTTTTTGTTAAGGCTTAAACCTGAGGACGCACCTTTTATACATACATTTAATTGCTGATGAGTTTTTCTTGGATGCCAGACACACAAGCCACTCAAAATAGTGGCAAGCAGCAGATTGTGATCACAGTTGCCATTTTCTGTGACAATGCTATTGGTGCTTTAGGCTGCTTAAAGAGCTTGATTGGTTTATTAAAAAAAAAAAAAACGCTACCCAGTATTTTGTGGTGGTGTCGTAAGAGAGCAGTGAATACAATAACATTTTGTCTCCTTTGAATACTGTACTTACTCACATAATAAACGCCCCCCAACTACAGTCGTCAGAATTTGGATTTTTCTTTTCCTTGCGTAATAAACGCACCCCTCACATTCGTCCACTGCAGTCCCGCTAACTGACACCTAGTGCCTCCTAGCCCATTGGGTCTTTTATTTTATTATTATGCCGATTTCCCTTCCCCTCGGCCACCTCAGCTAACTCTCCCCCCCCCTCACTCGCTGCCACGCACCGTATAGTTTTTCTTTCTATCTGTGTGCGGCACGTCCCAGTCTTTTTAAAATATCTATGCACCACAGCGGGCTTCACAAACGGCGCAAGTGTAGAGACATCGCGGCTGAAAAGCACACAGTGAGTGACGGTGATGAAACTTCTCGCGTCAACTGACGGTCCCTTCGTGTAAATACGAAACTTAAAGGCCCAACTACATGCACACAGTTTTCGAGCGACGACGACAGCATTTACTGTCGCTATGGCTGTCGCGAAGGGCCATTTTTCGCCATCGCTTCGCAGGTTTCTGGAAAACCAGAAAGAAATGACTTGTCACCTGGAAAAGATCGTGAATATTTCGCAACATGGTCCCTGATTCTCGCTTTGGTTGAAAGGGTTACAAACGAGGCGGCTGTCATATTTTGCATTAATCTTGTTATCGGTGATCTGTTAGGATGCTTTGGTGGTAGCTTGCTGCAATGTTGGTTGCTTGCTACAATGTCAACGTTGTCATCACGGTATTCGTGCAAGACTACCACGAAGTTGGCTGAGTGCGTCGTGGAGTCGTTGCGCATGCTTCTGGGTGTCCCTTGATATCACAGTAGATACTACTGTTTCAGTCAAAAGATTGAAAAAAAAAAAAAAATAGCCATGAAATGTTTTTGTGACGTGCATGGGCAGCGTGGGAATAGCTTGCAGAAGATGGTACCTTCAACCACTGGAGATGAGTGAAGTGCTGAGTGACGCAAATTTTTTTAAAGACGATGATCTTTCTTGGGGACCTTCGACGCAAAAGTTTTGGCCTGTATGTCTGTCTGTCTGTACATTTGTATGTTTGTCCACTCTCACCCTTAACGGCAGCGGGTACTTGAAACGGCCGACCCCATCTGCAGCGCCCACCAAAGTTGCTCAAGGTTCAGCATTCATACTTGTGCAAGTGTGAATTAAAAATCACTTATTGCGCACGTCTGGGGCACCATTACAACCATTCTGCATGTGCGTCTTTTACTAGAAAAGGCATACTTAAGTAATTTTACCTAAGTAATTCTTTCATGCTTTAGCCGAAAGAATAAAACTGACCCTTAGTGAAAACCATGTTTGCTGGTGTTTTTCCCCCCCCGTGCGAAGAAGGAACTTTTACCCTTTTGTTCAGCCCACTCGAAAACCGTGAAGAGGGGCATTGCAATGCATTCCTTGGGGTCCGCACTCGGGAAGTCGTCTCCGCATTCTTATCAGGTCTAGTTTTAATGCACAATTAGACCATTTGAAGGTCGCTGGGTTCCCTCGCTCGATTTTGTATGCCGTTGTGGAATGCCTTCAGCAGGAGGTAAAAAAAAGGCCCGGCTGAAGCACAAAAGAATCAAGAACGGCCGGAGGTGGTACTTTATATTCATAAGGTTTCACATAGCCTAAAAAAAGGTGGCGAGTCGGCATGGTGTACCGCTGGTGTTCACCGCCCCAAACAAACTGGTGAAGTTGTGCCCTCGGATCAATGGAAGTCATGCTCAAGAGCCGAAAGGCTGCAAAAAGAAGCATGCGCGGCCGTTCATGAAGTGTGCCATTGGAGTGGTTTATGAAATTCCCCTATCCGACGGAAATAGCTATGTTGGCCACACGGGGCGCTGCGTCAATGGTCAAGAGAGGGAACACGCTCTCACGGTAAATAATAAAAATGGTGCGCATTTGAGCGCTCATGTTACAGCTTGTGGATGCACACCAGACTTCACGAAGATTAGGATCCTGGGAAGAAGTACAAACAAGTTAGCACAGGAAATTTGGGAGGCATATCACATAAAGAAACGGGGTAATAAGTGTGTTAGCGAAACGTCACTAAACCTGTATAAGACAGAAACACATTATCTAGAGAGCATGTGTCCCATAGTGGGATTAAGTAAGAGAAGGGCTGATCATGTTGTGCCTGTGTTGATGAAGAGTGGGTTTATAGTAACCTGTTTCATCAAGCAATAAACAGTTGTAAGTGAGCGCCCGTGATATCTATATATGTTTCTTTCTGTGTGTGGTTGTTCGTTCGGCGCGACGTTGAACGAGAGAGAAACTAAGAGTGCAATGATCACCTTCTGTGGCCCGACTCTACCGCGTTTCGTGTATTACTGCGGAGGAGAATCGGCGTGCCACCCATACCGAGCCACAGTGCAAGTGCGCAAGATCTGCTGCAGCAAGGGTCACACCACAGATGTATGCCCCCAACCAGAAGCTCGCGCCTGTCGCATATGCGAAACGAGAGACCCGATCGACGGACATGTGTGCGTGCCACGCCAAAGTGTGCCTCGTGCGGAAGGAAACACGTCACAGGTGACCGCAGCTGTACACAGAGACTCAAGCAGCCGAAAGCGACTGCCAGGAAACCAAAGAGTGCCCCCAGTCCTAAGCGTAAGGAGTTACGCTGGTTTTCATCAGAAGAAGAGAAAACAGAGCTTTGCAGCGACAGAAAGCCACTTTCGACAAGCAGACACAGCACCCACAGCACGCCACGAGGGAAACTCAGCGCGCACCGCCTCCAAGTCTCCATCTCCATGCAAACCAAGATCGAAAATATGTGGGGTTTAACGTCCCAAAACCACCATACGATTATGAGAGATGCCGTAGTGGAGGGCTCCGGAAATTTCGACCACCTGGGATTCTTTAACGTGCACCCAAATCTGAACACACGAGCCTACAACAATTCCGCCTGCTTCGGAAATGCAGCCGCCGCAGCCAGGATTCGATCCCGCCACCTGCGGGTCAGCAGCCGAGTACCTCAGCCATTAAACCACCGCGGCAGGGCGCACAAACCAAGACCGAGGTCAAGGTCCAGGAAACGAGCGACAAACCAGCCAAGACAAAAAGCAGCGGAATCACCGACTCCCGTTCGAGCCAGCGCTGGACCTCTGGGGCAGCAGCAGCCTCAAGCTCTACCTACCACTATGCCGGCAAGCTGTACTGATGTCGCATCTCACACGACGACACCAATCCCACACAACGCGAGGAATATCAAAGAAAAATCGCAGAAAATAAGCAACTTAAATATAGTTTTTCAGCACTACAGACAGAGATAGCAGCACTCAAGCAACTTTTTGCTAATAGAACAATCAACCAGAGCCCACAAAACCAACAGACACAAATGAAAGCTACGGCCACACAACCACCTACTTCCAAGCCGCAAAATGTAGAGGGACAGCTGCAAGACATAGGAACCCAACTCCAACTTCTGTTTGCGGAGCTGGGAAATCTTCAGAAATACGTCGACGACTCCATCAAAGCAGTAAAAAAACCAAGGAAACGGGAAAGCTCAAGCTCTGGAGGCTGCAGCCCTAAGGTATCAGCAACGACTCACACGGATACATTTGAGAGCCCCTATGATAGTTAGACACATTACATGCCACCACGAAAGTCTAGAGTTATGGCAGTGGAACTGCTGTTCCCTGCACAACAAAGCATTTGTGCTAACACAGTTTGTGCAAGCCGCTACAATTGCACCTGAACGCATATGTTTGCAAAAGAACAAAAACACCAAAACGCTCAATATTGGTATACACACTCCACACAAACACAAGCAATACGGGGACGGCTATTTTGGTTCAAAAGGATCTTGTTGTTAGCGTAGAAACTGTACAAGGGGTAGACATACCCCATAAATAGCAACAGTATGGTGTGTTAAGAGAGGTCATCCAAAAAACATTGTCGTGAATATCTACAGCTCACCTCGAGAATGGATGGCGGACTTCACACCAATTATCTATCATGCTATAAACGGCACAAAACGAGGTGACAGAGTCATACTGCTTGGTGTAATGCCTGGCCTACAGAGTTGGGCTACAAAAGAGATACAGTCAAATCAAAGGAAGCAGCTTGCTCAAGGCAGCGCAGACTCACGATCTAGTCCTCGTCATGCAGCCAGACTCTCCCACAAGACTGAGAAACAGCGTGGCTAGAGACACCGCTCCTGACCTAAGTTTTGTAAGTGATGAACGAGGAGTCACTTGGATGAACCTAGACGAAACACTGGGGAGCGACCATTACATCCTCAGAATCTCTATACAAACAGAAAGAATAAGAAAACCGACCGGTACTGTATATCTGATAGATCGGAGGAAGTTTAGGGAATACCAGACTGATACTCAGGACCTCAGCACGATAAAAGACTGTATGACTTATATACGAGAGGCCGAAGACCAAGCAACTTAACGATTGCAAACAACACCACAAAACCCAGCCATCGACAACCATCTCCTCCACCTATAAGAGGAAAGATGCAGCCTCATAAAAAAAATGGAAGAGGCAGCGGCACAACCGAAAGCTCAGAGAGCACATAGCGCAAATCACGGAGGCAACTAATGCGTACTTGCAAGAGCTGTGTTTTTCTTACTGAAGGAGCTTGTGACGCTCTTTTCGGGGAAATCTAAGCACGAAAAGAACTTGAGCGATTCTTTGTAATGTGCTTACTCCTTCTACCGCATGAAGGGAAAGCATGCTTGCCCTGAGGCGTATACTTAATGACTATGCAGACTTAGACGCGGACCTTCTTCGAGAACCCCAAGACACATACATGCGAAAAAGGACAACACGGACAACTATAACACTTTATATGGGTCGGGCAAACCATGCCCTTGATGAACCAATACCACTCGCAGATGTGTACACTGCAGCGCAATCCTTTAAAAAGAACACTGCTCCTGGACCGGATCCTATCACGAATGCCATGATTAGAAACTTAGCTAGCGGAACACTAGAGCACCTAACAAATTTCTTCAATAACACTATTCGGAAGACAGGATGACCCATACCACCTGAATGGAAGGAGGCAAAAATAAGTTTAATACCTAAGCCTGGAAAACATCCGACCAATATCGTTAACCTCTTGCTTGGGTAAACTTTTCGAGAAGGTCATCCACACAAGATTTGGGAGGTACTTAGAGAAAAACAATCTCCTACCAAATTGCATTTTTGGCTTCAGTCAGGGAATTTCCTCGCAGGACGTCTTCCTTCTCCTTCGTGACGAAGTTCTAAACCTACCACCTGGAAGCATGAACAGAATCCTGCTTGTGTTGGACCTGTAGAAAGATTTCGACAAAATATCTCACGACACTATACTGACGGCCCCACAAGAGATAGGCTGCGGGAAGATAACCTACAACTACGATCAAAGTTTTCTCAACAACGAAACGGCATCCATAGGATTGGGCAATCTAAGAGGAAATAATATTCACATAGCAAATAAAGGCACTCCACAAGGCTCTATACTATCCCCCCTATAATTCAATATTGGTATGCAGAACTTAGCTCTAATGTTGGAAAAAGACAAAGAACTTGGAGTAGCTATATATGCCAACGCCATCACCCTTAGGGTGACGAAAGGATCCTATTACTGCCAAGACACTCTTCAACGAGCAGTCAACACAATCAAGGAATATGCCAAGGCAGGTAGGTATGACATGCGCGCCAGAAAAATCTGAATACATACAAATCCGGCCCAAGAACACCCACCGGACACGCTCCCCAACCTTCAATCTGTAGCTAAATGGGAACCAGATAAAGCAAGTAGTATCAGAGCTCAGGCTGCTGGGAATGCTGATAGAGGAGACGGGTAGCACATCGTTAACGCTAGAAACACTACAAGCACAACGAGGAGCGTAGCAAGACACGTAAAGAGAGTCACTTGCAGTAGTGAGAGCATGACCGAAGAAGACACCAGGAGGTTGGTACATGCCTTCATATCCTCTCCTATATAAACTCACACGCAGATGGGAAGCAGAGCAGGCCAACACACTCATACGCATTGCCTACGAAGCTGCATTGGGCCTCCCACACTGCACTGTCACAGAGCGTTTGGAATGCTTAGGTGTATATAATACATATGACAAACACGTTACAGCCATATTGATCGTGCAGAAAGATTCAACTCGACGATGCAAGGCAGACTATAGCTAAAGAGACTTAACTGCCCCTTGTCACCACAGTTCTGTGGTGAGGAGACGAATCAAATACTCAGAGAAGACAGGGAACACATATATGTTGCCCCTATCCTGAAAAACATGCACCCCAGGGTTAATACCAACCATAGACGAGCAAGGGCGGTGGCCCTGGAACGCCTACGAAATGACTCCTGACACTTACTATGCAGACTACAGTCCATACCCGACGAGGCAAAACACATTTGCTGCGGTCGTTACCAACCAAAATGAAGCAATCACGTCGGTGACAATACGTACGAAAAGCACGCCCGTAGCAGAAGCGGCAGCCATAGCCCTAGCCATCCGTGCAGCAGAGTGCAAGAGACAGTCTGCACACGTCCTCACAGATCCCCAAGAGGCTTGCTGACTGTTCCTCAGTGGCGTCCTTCCCAAGAGCATCCTAAGCAAGCTAAGATCCAATCTCCAAGAAGACCACGGCATCACATGGTGCACCGCCCACGCAGGTGTAGGAGGAAACAAACGGGCAGACCGCTTGGCTCGAGCATTAACTTTCCGAGCCTCGGACATGGCGACCCGGGCAGATTACTTCGCACCTGCGCTGCCGCGAGATATCTTTGAGAGCCAAAGACTGGCCCAGCAGACGATGGCGCCACCCCACCGTAAACTCACCTGCTGGCAATCCAGGGATTGGAGACGAATACAGATGAACACACACATGCACTCAGCAAAATCCTGCTATCCCAATTTGCTTACCACTGCCCTTGGTGTGGCAACACACTGACACTCCCGCACATCACTTGGAGTAATGGTGATTAAGGTGTAAAACCAAAAAAACATGCATAACGAGATAATGCTGACTAGATCCAACGTGTCTTTCCTCTTTTTGTGTTTTTATTCGTCACCTCTTAAGCACTTAATTTTGTATGTCTGTGAAGGATGTTTATTAATATGCATCAATTAAAAAAAAAACGTACAAGCTTCTTTTTAGATATTCTATAGCTCTTGCTTATGAATAAACCATGTATCTGTAAAAACAAACAATTCACTCATCGCTTTATGGTTGCCTTAACAAAATTATGACAATTTTTTTTAGTAGATTTGACCAAAGAAATCAGCAATAAAAAGAAATCAAGCATGGGGGCTTACACTTGGTGAAAATTCGATCCCCAAGGGTGTCATAATTGAAAATTCTATGTATAGATGCTTTTCATGAGCAATTCAAGTACAAATGATTTTGCTTTGAAATAATGCACTGCATTTGCAAAAGGCGTTAGGCTGTAGAAAAATCTGTTGTGGCTATTCATAGCTGCATTGTGAAATGTTTGTCTTTGATCACAGCAACAAAGCCAGCCAATAAGAGAAATAAATAATAAAGGCCTTTGAGATTCTGAAGAGTGGTGATGGCTGTATTAATAAACATCCTATTTTGCACATCAATTTTTTTTTCTCACACAGGCAGTGTGTAACTGTGCATTACTAACCTCATTAGAGAAAAAAATTTGCAAAAACAATTTCACAGTTTTTTTGGGTGAGTAATAGGTGTCCCAACTAAATTGGATGAAGACATAAAAAATTATCTAGAGCTCCAACAAAAAAGTTACTAGATGCCTATTAGTGGTAGTTGTATAAAAAATAAACAGTCAGCTGAAAATAGCATTTTTCATCAATATGTATTAATAAGGTGCTTAAAATGGTGAAAATTATAATTACTGCTTGAATCACTACCATGGCAATTCAAACGTTGCAGGCTGCCCCAAATACCATCAGAATCAAGCACTTATTTTGTTTTAAAATTTAGGCAATTGCCCAATATTTCATTGTTGTCCCTGTGGAATCCGCTTGTCGGCCAGAAAAGTGCATGATGATTTCCGTAACATGGTAGCACCCCTATCTTCGTTTCAGTTGCAATCTGCTCTTCATGTTATCCCGGCGTACTTCAAAGAACACAGGATTATAGGGTACATTTTTTACAGTGGCGTCTCATGCGGAGAGTGAGGCAGCGGCTGTATTTAGTCATTAATCTCGTTATTGATGATTTGTTTCGATGCTTCGGTGGTAGCTAATTGCTCCAATGTCAACGTTGCCATCGTGCGAGTTTGCCACGAAATCGGCAAAGTGTGTTGCAGCGTTGACGCACTTTGCGCACGCTTCCAGGCAGATGCCACTGCTGCAGTTGCCACAGTGGCATCACAGCTAATACCACTGCCACAGTTGAACAAAAGATAGCAAAAAAAGATACCTACGAAATGTTTATATGGAGTGCGCGGGACAGCTTGCAGAAGATAACGCTATCAAGAACTGAGGATGAGTGAAGTGCAACAAAGAAGCCGATTTCAGAGAGAGTAATTTTTTTTGAATTACCGCAGTTCTTGCTCATCCCGAAAAAGTTTTCGTAGAATTTGTCCCGCATAATGCACCCCCCCCCCCCACTTTCGTTTCAATTTTTTGGGGAAAAAAAGTGCATTCATTACACGAGTGTATACATTCATTGATTGGTATTCATTGATTGGTTTGCAGCATAATATAAAACTTGAAACGTGCTCGAGTGAATGAAGAGTGGTATAACTTGAGCATTAAGTTTCCCATTTCAGAATTTCGAATAATAAAAGCAAGCATAATGTATAGTATGATATGTAGAGAATTATAATTTTAGAAGCTCAAGGACATCACAAAGTGTTTTTCATGTTGCAACAGTGAAATAATGTTTAGCTGCAGAGAAAAAAGATCAACACAAGTGACCAACGGCCAGAGCAGCAAAACTACGACTAGCATTCAAAATGCTTGCTCCAGTATGGGCTGCTTTCCAGCACTCAGATGCACTTCAAAACAGAGATTATGCCCAACACTAGTCAAATACACTCTCAGGAATGAAAGTGATAACCTTTCTTCACTGTAGATGTACATGTTTACAATCAAATCAAGTGAATAGCAGTGGCAGTGCTCAGAATATTACAGATTAAAAAACTAGCCACGCTAAAGGACTACTCGATCAGGAACTCACTTTCGCGCTGAATTTGCTGTAGCTGTACATCGCGGCTTCCAAAAGGCAGAAAGGAAGAAGCATTGTCTGCAAAAAAAGATGTATTCAAAGTTAACACAACATTAAATATACTAAGTAATTTAAAATTAGCAAGATATTGCCATTTTTATTGTTGCACAATCTAGCACAAAAATAGGCAAACGCATAACTGTGTGCTCACATCATGAAACATTTCATACAAAATTATGCATTTGGCCAATGTAAACTAAGATAATTTTGCTGCAACCATTTAAACAGATGATAACAAAGTCTCTAACAGTGTAGTCATGTCAACACGATTCCAAAAGCTTGTGACCAAGCTGGTGTCATGGTAATGAACACACACTGGTGCAATCATTTGGCATTCCTGTTGTTTCTGTGTGGTTTTAATTAATAATTATGATCAGTAACTGCCTTGAGTTTTTAGCAGAATAGCAAGACAACAACAGGCCATCGCCAATACGACCACTATAGTACAGCAATGTACATATTCAATGAGAAGCAATCTCAAAGTCACACATGCACACGCACACACAATATATATATATATTGAAAGATGCAGGAAGACTTCACCAGGCAGGACCAGCAGGAGCATTTATTCTATAAAGAATTCCTCAGCTCAGAACAGCAACGAACGAGCCCAATCATGATGATGATAGTTATGTTTGTACAAATGAGAACAATGAAGTACGACAAATGTGCTTACACTAATTTCAACCCTCTTCGAAGCGACCAGCCTGGCCGCAGCTCAAAGATCAGCTGATTGAGTAATGAAAGGCTTCATGCATGACACGTGCACAATTTCTTTGCTGCAACGACAGTGGTTAGTGATGGACTGAAGCGGGGTCACGAAATAGTTCACTGGAGAAGTTTGTCGTAAAACGTTGTATGGGCCAACGTACTTGTGAAGAAATTTTTCGCAGAGCCCTGACGCTCGAGTTGGGGTCCATAGTAAGACCTTATCTCTGCAATGAAAGGTCACGTCACTGCTATCGCATGAACGTTTTCGTTCTTCTTTAGTGGTTTCCGTGTTGCGCGAAGAAATTTCACGGCACTGCGCAACTCAAGTTGCGGGCTCTTCTGGTAGGCAAGTACTGGATGGAGCTGGTGCAAAGAAGAATGCCGTGACGAAGGCTGAGGATGAGGATCGTCCATAGACAAGGAAGAAAGTGCTGTAGCAGGTAGATATTTGTGTTGCGATACAAGACTGCTACTGTAATCAGACATTCCGTTTACCGAGCACAAGTTCGCCCAAATAAACAGTTAAATCCCAACATAAAGTCTTCTGCCTTCGGCCACGTCACGACCCCGTGACTGTAGCGACAAACGGTAAAATATTGTCCCACTTTTTTTTATTCAGATGTAGGTACATGGAGATCATGTCGGAGAGCGTTGGGTGATAGCGCTCAGTAAGGCCATTTGTCTGTGGGAGGTACGTGGAAGTGGTTTTATGCATCGTTCTACAGGGCCGTAGGACTTCCTCGAGGAGCCTCGTGGCGCAAGGCGATGGACTGCAAGAAGAAGTCGGCGACTTCTGTAGCAGCACCAGACCGAAGAGACGCAGTCTCGGCGTATCATGTCAAATGATCGACTGCAGTGACGATACAACGGTGACCATTAGATGTCAATGGCAAAGGACCATATAAGTCAATTACGACAAATTCAAAAGGTGATGTCGAACAGGGCAGAGGCTGCAGGAAACCGGCGGGCGGAGACGTGGATCGCTTACGGTGCTGACATGACGCGCACGAGCCGACAACCGACGTGGACAAGCCAGGCCAGAAACAGCGGGTTCTGATGCGGTCGTAGGTCTTGCAGAAACCCAGATGACCAACAGCAATGTCATCGTGAACCGCTTTTAAAACGCGTAGACGAAGGCAGCGAGGAAGGACTGGCAACCACTTGTTACCCGTTGGATGATAAATATAGTGTTCGATCACACCGTCGTGGAGGCGAAATTGTTAAAGCTGGCGTCTGAAGCGGTTGTTGGGTGGTTTAGTGATGCCGCGAATGTAGTCAATGAAGGTTCGACAGTGGGAGTCAGCCCACTGAAGTGAATAGAAACCGGATAGCGAAGAAAGTCGGATTCGGTCCAGTGAGGTTATCGACAAGTGTTCCTAGGCAGGCGGAATGTCGGAGCTCCCAGGATGCGATGAGAAGTGCGTATTGTCGAGAGAAGATGAAAGTGGGCATTGGGACAGTGCGTCGGCATCATGATGGCATTTGCCGGACTTATATGTGATGGTGAAGTCATACTCTTGCAAGCGCAGCACCCAGTGCCCTAGACGTCCTGACATATTCTTCATCTTCATATACTTCAGCCAACACAGTGCGTGATGGTTTGTGACAATAGCGAAGTGTCGCCTGTAGAGGTATCTTTATCAACCAGACAATAGCCAAGAACTCTTGCTCCGTGATCTTGTAGTTCCTCTCAGCTGTTGACAGAGTTCGACTGGCGTATGCAACAACCTCCTCTTAGAGGCAGCATCACGCTGCAAAAGTACAGCTCCGATACCTTGCGCTCTCTCGTCAAAGTGGCGAAGCACTGGTCCGGAAGTCAGGTGTTCTTTAACGACTTAAAATGTGAACTCGCAGTCCTCGAACCAAGCCAAATGAGCACCAGCAACTTATTTAGGGGAGCCGCTATTGTGGTGAAGTTGTGTATAAAGCGGTGAAAGTAGAACCCCAGGCCAAAAAAAAAACTATGCAACGTCTTTTGGTTGAAGGCCGAGGAAACTGCAATACAGCGGCTATCTTGTTAGAATCTGGCCGGACTCTGTCTTTGGAAACAATGTGACCGAGAACTTTAATACTTCTGCTGGCAAACATGCACTTTTTGGTATTTATCTGAAGGCCAGTGTTCGAAAGGCACTGAAGTACTTCGTCTAATCGTTGAAGGTGTTGGGTAAAGGTAAATGAGAACACAACAATATCGTCTAAATAATAAAGGCCGGTCTTCCATTTTAGGCCACGAAGAACAGTATCTATCATGCACTCAAATGCTGCCGGAGTGTTGCACATGCCAAATGGCATTACGTTAAATTCCTAGAGCCCATCCGGCGTAGCAAAGGCAGTTTTTTATTTGTCAGCCTCATTCATAGGGATTTGCCAATACCCCGACCGTAGGTGAAGGCTGGAAAAATAATTCGCTCCTTGTAGTGTGTCCAAAGCGTCATCTATTCGAGGCATAGGATATACATCCTTGCGAGTGATCTTACTTAGTGCATGATAATCAACGCAGAAACGAACGGAGCCATCTTTTTTTTTCACTAAGACTACCAGAGAAGCCCAGAAGCTGGAACATGGCTGTATTATCTTGCGTGATAGCATATCATAAACTTGTTCTTCAACGAGTTTTCTTTCCGACTGCGAGACATGATAAGGCCAATGGCGTATAACACCAGAACCATTGGTTTCAATGCAGTGTACAGCCACGGAAGTCTGACTCAGTTTCGTGGCACAGCTATCAAAGCAGGCCTTATGCTTAGCTAAAAGCGCCAATAACGCTGCGGACTGGGCAGATGTTAGATCAGAACTGATGACTGTGCGGAAAGAGGAAGAACTCGCAATTGATGTGGGCACTCACGATGAGGAATGGCAAAGTGCTGCAATAAAGGTCAGTGGAGAGGCGTCTATCATCGCTACAGTCATCCCCTTGGGTAACATAATTGATTCTACAATTGTGTTGCAAATGGGCAGAAGCGCGAGGCCATGGGACAACCGGAGCAGACAGGTGGCGATGAGAATTCCACGAATAGTGCCGCGAGGAGCAGGGGCAACTAGGGCGTTGCCGTCGGTTACTTGGCTAGACGCAACAACTACCACTTGTCCATGACCAGGGCGCAAAACACATCCTTCAGTGACAGCCAAGTGGAAGATCAATGAAGGTGGCTCTGACAGAGATGCTTTGATAGATATGTTGGGTTTAACGTCCCAAAACCACTATATGATTATGAGAGACGCCGTAGTGGAAGGCTCCGGAAATTTAGACCACCAGGGGTTCTTTAACGTGCACCCAAATCTGAGCACAGGGGCCTACAACATTTCCGCCTCCATCGGAAATGCAGCCGCCGCAGCCGGGATTCGAACCCCCGACCTGCGGGTCAGCAGCCGACTACCTTAGCCACTACACCACCGCGGCGGGGCTCTGACAGAGATGCACCCGATGTATCCGCAATGTGAATGACGTTTTTTTACATTATATGACAGCAGAGGCGGAATGTAAGAAGTCCCAGCCCAGAATATGTTCATGAACGCACGTGCGTAGCACAATAATTTCAATGTGGTGACGTAAGCCGTCGATGAAAACGCGAGCCGTACACTGTCCAAATGTCCAACAGGTTGGATGAGTACGTTATTTGCGCCACGCAACACAGGTCCTACATAAGGGGTTCCGACTTTACGGAGACGTGAGCCCAAGTCACTACGTATAACAGAAAAAGCGGCACCGGTATCGACAAGCACATACACAGGAACACATTCAAAAGTCACTCACAACAGGTTGGCCGGAGAAACAAGAGGTACTTTTTATGATCGACGGGACACAATTTTCGCTCCAAAAACTACAATCTTTAGTTTTCTGAGTGTTGTTCAACAGTGCGGAATAGAGGGTGAAGTGACGATGCCAAGCGTCGGTAGGCAACAGAATGACTTATTTGCGTGAAAAAAAATCGCCTATTTTGGCCTGCTTCTTCGTTCTTGAAATGTTGAAGACACTAGTTGCGATCTTATCAAGGCTGTCCAGGTGCGACAGACGGTTCTCTACATGTGGCCGATACTACAGCGAATGATGCCAAACGCTGCCGCTACTTCAGCAGTGTAGTACGCGTGTGTGGCCAGCGCCTCATCCGGACGATCCTCCTCATCACTTGAGCTTTCGACCAGGACGTCCTGGGTCCCTGCAACCGCAGCTACTATGTCATCGTCAGGGAGGCTTGCAACGGCCTGGACATTGCGGTCCGCTTCCACGAAGTCGTCCGCAGACACTTCGTGTGGAACTGCTGCCAGGAAGCGGGACAACTCGCGAAACGCGTCGTCTATACGCTCGT